AGGCTGCGGCAGAATCCGACGGAGCCACGTTCACCTTTTGGGTTTACCTCCGCCAAGGAGGCCTCCTCCTCTCGTCCGTTAATTAGCATACAACAACAATGACTTCGATTTCAGGTAAGAGGTATCATTGCGTTGCATGAAGGGACCCCTCGGCCCCCCCACCCCACTGGCATACTTTTTTTTACATCATTATTTACAGCGGCCTCCCACTCTACACCCCAAGAAAGTGACCCAAACTCCTGACAGTGATGTCATCAACTATCAACCACATGGCCCTTCTCTATTTGGAAAATGAGCATTATTTTGCATCTAATATATATAAAGAAGCAACAGACTGGTCGCCGTTCAGTATCAGGTCACACAGAACAACAGAATGGTCGCCAGTCAATGGTGGGGCACATATAGACAAACAGAAGGGTTTTTTTTTCCTTCATCCTGTGGCTGAGTTTAACGCGCTCGCCTAATCGCAACACCCTAGAGCGGTGTTTTTCAAAAAAATGTGCTTTGCGATCTTACCCAGAACATACACATAAGTTTGCCGGTTTTGGCAAAGTCATGTATGTATCCTGGTTAAAGAAAAAAATTAAAATCGGGCGGAACCAAGGCACCTCCACCCCCACCCCTGCACCATCCAGTCACGTCCCTTGGAAAGTTAGAAAAACCAAAATTAGTCCCTGTCACCAACAGTCTTTGGAATCCAAATCATCTTTATTGGCCAAGTACTTTATGTAGAACACACAAGGAATTTGTCTCTGGTAATATAGGCTACACTAGTATTGCAATAACAAGTAACTATTGTAAACATATAAATATGGAAAGACTTAGGCTAGATCAAATGAGTCAAAAGATATCTTCTAAAATGAAATGTTCACTACAATGGATGCAAAAAAAAAAAAAGATCTCTGATAAAAAGAGACACCAAATAAGTTTCGGAGACCCATATCTGAAACTGAACAGGACATCGGCCATTTTGGTATGAAGCAGCCGTCATAAATTCAAGTCAATAGCAAGCAGGCATCTGCAACAGTTTGAGGATTCATCATGAGGATGAAAAAAAGGAATGCGGCACTGCTCCTTATTTACTACATGTGTCGACATGGTATTTCAACGAATCTAGACCACATATTTTCTCATATTTTCCTTTTGGTCATCATTTTGTGTTTTTGTCGACGCTGCACTGGATTTGGCGGCTTCATGGTCAGCACGCAGTGGGATGGCTGACTCAGCCGCGACCCACAAGCGCCTCTCTGGCTCCCCCTGCTGGTTGTCACACGGAAGGAACTCAGCGCGCGAGCGACCACGAAGCACGTGAGGAAAAAAATGGCGGGCAGCAGACTGACGAAGGCGAGAAAGTTTCTGGGGGGTTTTTCTCTCCCCTCAAGCACAAAGGAGCACTTTGTTCCCAGCAGGCTCCGCAGGGCCTCGGTGTGAATGGGGACCAGCGTAGGCTTGGGGTCTGCCTTGCATCATTATGCCAGCTGTTTCTCATATTACGACCACCGCGTTTCGCCTCATGAGAGGC